TGACGGAATTGTCAGACGTCATCAAGGTATCTGTCGCGAACGTGTTTTGCGGATGCGGCATCACTCTTCTGTATCGGATGTACAAGCCATCCGTTTTCACAGTCTTGTCTTCAACCTGAACGCGAAAAAAGTTAGGGAACATGAATACAAAACTGAATCCATCATGAATTGAAGTACAGTATTATGACTTGTTCATGTGCAGCGTTTCAAAAGCGAGGACTAATTTTTTTTACCTTTCGCATTCGATCACTTGATAAATATACGAGTATTTTCCTCTTTCGAAAATGAAATCTAGAAAAAGTATCAAGTTTTGAAAAGTTCACTTTTTGTCAGGGTAAAGAGGCGGAAGTCTTGCATTATCCTTTCAATTTTTCGAATTTGTCTTCTGCTTTCGTCTAAAAATCAAGCTGATCACCCAAGAAGGAAAGAGTTATTCTAAATATTTCCGAGGTAAGGTTTTGGTTGAATTCTGGGACGAACGTTTACGTCAATAACAGATCGGATAAGATAATAGGACATGAATGCTCTTCGTTGGACTTCCCCCGAAATTTGTGGCTGCTGATGAAAATATTCTTAAAATGTGTCGTCTATTCATTGATAATTAATAGCAATTCATTAAAAAAAGGTAACGCGCGTTGATGAGATAAAAAAAATGGCACATGTTGATCATTTCTGCCCAATCCATAGCCAAAGTGATTACCAAAATGTCTTTTAAAGCGGCCAGTGTACTCAGATGAAAAGATCAATTGCTGTCTATACTAACGGGGGATTTCGAACTTTAAAAACCCCCATATACATGAGTGGATGAGTTCAGTTGAACGAATAGTTATTTGAGGAAACTTCTTGAAACAATTTCCGAATCGTTACAAAAACAAAAAACAAAAAAATGGCCAAGTGAAAGCATATGCTGTACAGTCTAACCTCCCAGAAAATTCGGACGGCGGTTGGCGACTCTGGTTTGATTCGCACCAAACGAAACACACAGCTTTCCAGTTTTCGTCTCTCCATGACTCTTCTGTTTGCCCCCAAAGCATTCGATGCAGACGAAGAAGAAGAACTATCTTCTTCTGCAGCCACGACTTCTTTGCTCAAACCGCTGGGGGCGGAAAATCCTGCTGAATTTTCGGCCCGAGCGGTGAACACGTACCGGCGTCCCGGAGAGAGTCGGCTGATGACCGCCACGTGGCTTCTGAGTCGTGACGCCACTGTCGTCCACGTGGACCTTTCTGACGGTGTTCCAGGGCTATAATAAGCCACTGTGTATCCTGCATAGTATTTTGTTTGGTATGAAACGTACGTTTGCTTCCAAATCACAAGTCCGTTCATTGTGGTCTTTTTTTGGGGGGGGGGGGGTTT